TTTTATTTTATAACATTTTTAACAAAATAATAACTAAGTTATCTATTGCAGGATATTTTATCTTCCATGTTCGTCCTAAATGAATCACCCAATCAACCCTTCATGTTTTTATTTTTAAATATTTTTTGAAATATTTATCAAATGATGGTAGGGGTAGAAAGTAAAGATCATATGTATAATAGAGTTTCAACAGTGTCACGTTGTGTTTATTCATTCTTAGATCTTCTAAGGGTAGATCTTCTATACACTACAAGATATCTAGACATTCTTAACACACATAAAACGCTATAATATTGTTTACATAGCGGAATTATAAACAGGCCCGGCTCAAATGGGTAGGGCAGACGGATGACGGCCCAAGGGCCTAGTATTTTCATTTTTAAAATATTTTTTTAGTGTTAAAGGGCCCAATTCCCCCACCCTCCCTATGTATAAAGGCCCGTTTTTAGTAAAAAAATAGAAAAAACTTATTTGCTAAGAATAAAATAGAAAAAGGCCCAATTTTTTAGGTTTTATGTTAATAAGGCAAAAAAAAAGAAATATTTAGAGGGTACAAAATATTTTTTGGGTGAATTAAATTTCTATACTCAGTTGACCAACAAATTAAGAATATAGCATTGTTAAATATATAATTAGTTCTCTCTCATCAATTTGTATAAGTGAACAAAAATAATCTTTCGCATCTAACAAATTATTTAGCGAGATAATGATATAAGTATCGACAATACTGTTTATCAAATACATAAGTAAAATCATGTTATAAGTTAGATGAATAACTATTGAATTACCATGATAACAATATATATATACATATAAGTTTATAAATATATCGTGTTAAATTGTTTTGTATCCCGATAATTTATGATTTATGTCATAAGTTTATATTTACCGTGTTAACTCATTTACTATACCACTATTTGATCAACCCATACCGATATATAATTTATAGAAAAAATTATGGAAACAAAATATGTACACATATAACCACTATTTGATCAACCCAAACCGATATATAATTTCATTTTAATTGTAAAATCTAAACTCTAACCACTATTTTATCAACCCAAACCGATATATAATTTCGTTTTAATTGTAAAATCTAAACCCTAAGCACTATTTTATCAACCCAAACCGATATATAATTTCGTTTTAATTGTAAAATCTAAACTCTAACCACTCCTTTATAAACCCAAATCGACATATAATTTTGTTTTAATTGTAAAATCTAAACCCTAAGCCCCATTTATAAACGCAAACCGATATATAATTTTGTTTTAATTATAAAATCTAAACCTCAAAAATATATTTAACCATGTTTTATTAAAGATGTACAGATTTTGTTTCCTTATTAAATATAATTTATTTGTTAAAATAATAAATTATTATTTAAATGTATAATTATATTAATCGTGCTAATTCAGTTATCAGCTAACTCATGATTATAGGGTTAAAATTGTCTAGAAGAAGCAAAACTAATTATGAAATTATCTTCAACATATAGTGAATAAAAACTTTATCTGGGTAAATACAATACAATTTCCCTTTTTTTTTTTTGCCCTAGGGCCCTTGTTTTTGTTGGGCCGGGGCATTTATAAACGATGTGTTTGTCGAAACCATCTTAGGGTGATCATATACAATAATGTAATTTGGCTATGCTATTTAATGTACCCTATAATAGCGTATTTTAGTTAATATCTTTTTTGTATTGTAGAAGAAAATAGTGGTACTCGAATAGTAGAATATATGGTACTATCATACACGTTTAGTGATGTTTTCTTTATTGTTGTACCATTTTTTACCATATAGATTTAATATAATTAATTTATAATTTGCATATTTAAACCATGTTTTGCAAAATATATTTAATGGGATTTTTATATACATGTTATTTATTGGATTAAGTTTCAAAAACATTTATTACACAAAACATAAATAACATGTATTACATTTAATAAACTAAATAATCTTCGTAACCTAATGTTTTGGATCATACAAAAGAAAAACATCAACCTCCTTACATGCTAGGCTATGTGATAAGCTGACTTTGTAGAAACTTCTCTAAGGTTAAGCCTTTCCTATTTGTAGGGAAGCCACTCTTTTCAGCTGCTTACTTTGTTCAGGAACTATAATACAAATTAATGCGTATAAGACGGTAGCCACAACTTCTTTAAGATCTTTAGAGAAGGTCTAGATGTAAGATCACAAACAATGATCAACACATAAAAAATTAAACAAGAACAAAACGAGTGTGTACATACGAGGTTGAAACAATTTGGGCAACAAAGATAAAGAGATAAATAAATGCAGCATTATGGAGGCTACAAATTTAATTCTTTAATCATTAATGGAATAGATTAATATGCCCTAAGAAAATCGAAGAATCAAACTTGTGGTCGTTCATTAAATTTCTTATATATCCATTATTGTGTATAAATAATACATTTTATGTAATGCCCCCATACCGTCGCCGCACGGCCGGATGAGCCAAATATGACGACCCGGACGGGACACCACAGTTGACGGTTCCGTCCGAACGCTGCCGGTCGAGGTTCCCAAAGAAGGATACATGTAAGTCGGGATAACCATGGCCGATGCGCTCGAGGCTAGCCGTCCCTCTTCGTTCGCGCGATCGTCCAGGCTTTGCAACCCTTCCGGTCGGGACGGACGAGAACTCTTTCCCCCAACCCGGATGAGGCCGACGGAAGGAAGGGGAGTTTTTATTCAGATCCAACTCGTCATTTTACCCAAAAATGCTCTTTATTACTTCTAGTAAAGTTTTACAAGAAAAAAGTTACCAAAGAATACTTAGTTGAATCCATTGAAAATTATACATAATAGAAAAGTAATATTTTGCAAAAATATGAAAGATATTCTAACTCCGGCTCCTATCGTTTGCTATGGTCTAGACTCCTTGGGCTAATTGCGAGTTAGGAACCAAGCACCATGGTCAAGATCTGAGCGACAACAAAGGTCAGCCCTTCGAGACACGCATCACCACTGCCGAGGAAACATATTATTTACCTAACGATCAAATCTACAGATCTGAAATTAAGGACATTGACAAGCAATAAATTCTACGCAAGAAATCAGGACTAAAAGGGTCGATAAACAAGCAAGAAGGCAAGAAATAACAAGCAATTGATGTGTATGGATTTTACTCATTTTGGCACTAGTTTTATGCATTGTTTTTGTCATTCTAGGTCTCATTACTTGATTATTTATGCATATTTGCCTTGTTTTGCTTCACTTGTAGAATCTAGGCCTTGCATTGCATGCATTGTAGTGTTTGTGCATAAACATGTGTTTACCCAAGGGAAAAGAAGCAAATCAGAACAAATCGACCAAGTGTAGATGTTGCATCTGATCGAGTAAGCTGCAGAGATACATTTCAAATACATCGACGATCGAGTGAGCAGCAGACGTACACGATTGAGTAGCTGATCGAGTGAGCAGAAGGGAAGCGAAGTATAATCACCTATCACTCGATGCACACACTCTAGTGGCACGATCGAGCAAAGCAAAGGAGTAGGAGATGACTGAAAGATCACTCGACACACTCACTCAAGATACATGGTCGAGTAAGTTGTAATGATGCAGAGAAGAATTTATGTGTTACTCGACACACTCACTCGACCAACAGGGTCACTACAACTTTTAAACCGCTTTTTACTTGGCGTTTTATGTTTTAAGTTTTGCCCAAACATGGTTATAAATAGGTCTCTTTTGGCATCGCCCAAGGGATCAAGTTTTTTACCCTTAGGTTTTTGTTGTTAGCCACCAAAACAATCCAGAAAATTGTAATTCATATTTCTTTTAAGTTATTAAGAGTTTGCACTTAGTTCTTTGATCATTGTTGTTTATCTTCCCGTCATCTTTATTATTATGTATGTTTTAAAGGATTATGGGTTTATGATGTTTAACATGATTTTTGTGTCTGATTAGCGTTAGCATTCTTGAGGATGTGATAGATTAGGTGGAGAATGTTAGTTTGCTAGAGTATTTAAGTTAGATTTGTTTGTTCCCTTCTGGATTAGAGTATTCATAGCTAATTCTTCTCTGATCAAGTGGAATTAGATCCCAGACATTTCAGCACATACCAAGTGTTTGATGAAATGTCTGAACAACTAATACTAAAGATATACTCGCTTAGCCTAAGATATTAGATGTCTAAGAAGTTTATTGACATTAATGGACTGTTTCTTCAAGCCTATTTGCTTCATGTTTCATCAAAGAGATTTGAGATTAGGAAGTGTTGTAAATATGATAGTTTCTGCCAAGAGATTGGATTAACTAGTATTTGATGTTCATTGTTTAGGGATTAGTATGTTTGTCGTTCGTTAAACACCTCTAAGTAGTTTAGCATACTCCACCTACATCAATAACCTCATCCTCAGGATCTTCTATCCATTTGTGCTTTCTGTTTTATTCACTTGCTATTTGCTTATTCTGTTCTGTCTTCTTGCTAGTATTGATAATCATTAGCTTATGCATGATAGTCTATGTTTTGAAGCCTTACATTTATCGCATGATTAACATGTTTGCTTAGGATCATTGAAAGCCAAAATCATTTATACTTCGCTTGACTTAATCATTTCTGATATATCTTGATTGCCAGCATCACACTTGATTGGAATGATATTTATTGTACTGTAATGACATGATAGTACTCTAGGGTAATTGGTAGTAAAATCCTAGAATCAATTTGGCGCTGCTGCCATTTCGGTGTTTGTTTGTTACATTTGAGATTTCAGACTTGCTAAGATCAAGTTCTTACTCAACATTCAATATAGTTACTCACTCTGTTCTTTCAGGTACAAGTCTTGCTCAACTACTCCTTCTCGACTGACACACTCAACCGTCTCGCAAGCGAAGTTGATTTGAGTTGTATGCACACACGGTCGCAAGGCACATAGAACTTGTTCCAGCCCTCCGACTATATTGATAGCTTGGTACCTGCATCAAGACAGCAACGGAACAGAGTTATACCACCACAAGTGGAGATGGAAAACCCTCAACAACAATTTCCATCACTGGCACCTACACGGATCGGAGTTGGTGATGCTCCACGCAACCATACCCATCGTCAGGATATAGTGCCTCCAACCGTGCAGATCAAGAACTTCGAGATCAAGAGTGGCCTGATCTCCATGGTGCAGCAAAATAAATTTCATAGTCTGCCTAAGAAAGACCCCCTGGATCACCTCGATGAGTTCGATCGTCTCTGCAGTCTCACCAAGATCAATGGAGTCAGTGAGGACGGTTTCAAGTTACGACTCTTTCCATTCTCTCTGTGTAACAAAGCTCATCAATGGGAGAAAACTCTTCCTCTAGGATCTATCACTTCGTGGGATCAATGCAAGCAGTCGTTTCTTGCCAAGTTTTTCTCCAACTCCAGAACTACACGTCTGCGCAACGAGATTTCTGGGTTCACTCAGAAGAATGGTGAAACACTCTGTAAAGCATGGGAGCGCTTCAAAAGTTATCAATCTCAGTGCCCCCACCATGGATTCACCAAGGAGTCTCTCCTCAGAACTCTCTACCGGGGCGTTCTCTCAAAGATCCGGATGTTACTTGACACTGCCAGCAAAGGTAGCTTTCTGAACAAGGACGTCGGCGATGGTTGGGAGCTTGTTGAGAACCTAACCCAATCTGATGGCAACTACAATGAGGATTATGACAGAACCATCAGGGCAAGCACAAAACTTGATGAAAAGTACAAGAAGGAGATGAAAGCTATGAATGATAAGCTGGACAAACTCTTGATGAGCCAGCAAAAGAACATCCATTTCGTCTCTGAAGGAGACTCTTTCCAGATTCTGGATGGGGAGAGAGAACAATCAGAGGAGATAAGCTATGTCCAAAACAAGGTGGATACAAAAAGGGATACAATCCCTATAAGCAGAATCCCAATCTGTCTTATAGGAGCACCAATGATGCAAATCCCAAGATCAGGTTTATCCACCTCCACAACAACAGCAGCAGGGGAAAAACAAACCATTTGTGCCTTACAACCAAGGTTATGTGCCCAAATAACAATTTCAACAAGGTTACCAACCTCTAGCAGGACCACCTCCACCACTAGGATTCCAACCTCAACACGCTCCACCTCCTCAGGCCCCAGACCATGACATGAAAAACATGCTTCAGCAACTCCTCAAAGGACAAGTAAGTGGCTCCATGGACAATGCTAAGAAGTTTGCTGAGCTGACTTAGAGATTGGACTGCTCATACAATGATCTGAATATGAAGTTTGAGACTCTGAATTCCAAGATCAAGTATATGGAGGGAAAAACTGCTTCTACTTCTGCCCCAAAGCCTGGCCAAATCCCAAGAAAAGCTGTTCAGAATCCTAAGAAATTTGCTCATGCCATCACGCTGAGGAGCGGTAAAAACTTGCCTCCCAAACAAGGACCTTTTGATGTGACTGAGGACAGTGAAGACTTGGAAGGGGAGGATGTATGTCAGAATGAAGATCCAATTGTTCATCTGAAAGAATCATAAGCCGTACCTGAATAAGCTCCTCAACCTGCTGAGAAATATGCTGAAACACCTACAGCTTCCAAAGATAAGTCTGCGAGATACGTTCCCCCACCATACAAACCACCTCTACCAGCTGAGAAGTATAAGGCTTTATTCGAAAAGCAAGTGAAAGAGATTGAGTTGAGAATGCCATTGCTGGATACATTCGTACTTGTCCCTCCTTATCAGAAGTTCCTCAAATATTTGGTTATGGAGAGAGCAAAAGAAATCCAAGGCATGGTGATATTGAGTTATGAATGCAGTGCCATTATCCAGAACAAGATTACTTCCTTGAAGCTTAAGGATCTTGGATCCTTCCCTCTATCTTTCAGCAGGTGCCTATGTGATCTTGGAGCTTTAGTGAGTATAATGCCATTGTCCGAGGCTAAGCGTTTAGGCTTCACAAGATACAAGGCATGCAACATATCTCTCATTCTAGCTGATAGATCAGTGAGGCTCCCGCATGGACTCTTGGAAAAATTGCCAATAAGTATTGGTGTTGTTGAAGTCCCTACAGATTTCGTTGTCTTGGAAATGGATGAAGAGCCTAAGGATCCCTTGATTCCTGGAAGGCCATTCCTAGCCACTACAAGAGCCATCATTGATGTTAAGAAAGGAAAAATTTATCTATGATTGGGAGAAAACTTCAAGATGACATTTGACATCAAGGAGTCTATGAAGAAACCAACGATCAATGGCAAGGTGTTCTGGATAGAGGAGATGGATCAGTTAGCTGATGAACTTTTATAAGAACTTGTTGAGGAGGATCATATCAAGACAGCTTTGACAAAGAATGAATCAGATGGATTTCTTCATGCTGAGACCAAAGTCTACGAAATATTGCTGAATACGTATAAGGCAACTGATGACTCAGAACGTTTTAAAGAATTGGATGAATCTGTCAAGGAGGTATGCTCAGTAGAAGAGGAAGTCAGCGGCATCCCGATCACTCATCTAGCTAATGATGATTGGTCAGAGTTAAAAGCTCCCAAGGTTGAGCTCAAACCGCTACCCTCAGGAGTGAGGTATGTATTCCTTGGATCCAACTCTACTTATCCTGTCATTGTGAATGCTAGCTTGAATAATGAGGAATTAGAGTTGCTAGTCACTGAGCTTAGAAAATATAGAAGGGCCATAGGGTATTCCTCCTTCTCCTCATGTTTGTTGGATCTCTGCAGGGTATTGGCAAGATGTGAGGAGACGAGCCTAGTGCTCAACTGGGAGAAGTGCCACTTCATGATGAACGAAGGGATAGTGTAGGGACACTAGGTATTAGAGAAAGGGATTGAGGTTGATAAGGCAAAGACTGAGGTCTTGGTTCAGTTGCAGCCTCCCAAGACAGTCAAGGATATTAGGAGTCTCCTTGGGCATGCTGGGTTTTACAGAAGATTCATCAAGGACTTCTCAAAAATTGCAAGACCCCTTACATGACTTTTGTGCAAGGAGGTCGAGTTTGTAGTTGATGAGAGCTGTCTGAAAGCTTTCAACAAGATCAAGGAAGCGTTAGTCTCAGCACCAATATTCCAAGATCCAGATTGGGATCATTTTTTTTAGATAATGTGTGATGCTTCTGATTATGCAATAGGGCTGTGTTGGGGCAACGAATAGAGAAGAAACTGCATGTCATCTACTATAGAAGCAGAACTCTTGATGAGACAAAAGAGATGTATGCAACAACAGAGAAGGAACTTCTGGCTGTAGTCTTTGCGTTTGAGAAATTCAAAATTTACTTGGTGGGATAAAAAGTAGTAGTCTAAACAGACCATGCTGCACTAAGGCACATATACTAAAAAAAGGATACTAAGCCGAAACTGTTAAGATGAATACTTCTGTTATAGGAATTTTATATGGAGATTGTTGAAAAGAAGGGCATAGAAAATGGTGTTGCAGATCACCTTTCCTGATTGAGGATAGAAGATACAGTCCCTATTGATGATTCCATGCCTGAATAACATCTTATGGTTGTTGAGATATGCAAGAAGATGCATCAAACAAGAATGTCTATGAAGGAGCTTCAATGTCTAGTAGTCAATTCAGAGAGTATGCCCTGGTACGCGGATGTTGTGAACTACAAGGTCTGTGGGGAGATTCCTGCAGACATGGATCTTTATAGGAAAAAGAAGTTTTTCAGAGATATCAACCATTACTTCTGGGACGAACCTTACTTCTACAAAAGGGGTTCAGATGGGCTGTTTAGGAGATGCATAGCAGAAGGGGAAGTGCAGGGAGTGCTTGAGCACTGTCACAGATCCGCATATGGAGGACACTTCGCCACATTCAAAACAGTTCATTCTACAAGCAGGCCTTTGGTGGCCAACTTTGTTTAAGGATACAAACAGGTTCATCACCAAGTGTGACGCCTGCTAGAGGATGGGTAACATCAACAGAAGGAATGAGATGCCTCAGAACCCGATCTTGGAAGTAGAAATTTTTGATAATTCGGGAATTGATTTCATGGAACTGTTCAACTCTCCATCAAATGGCAGTGTCTATATACTGGTTGTAGTTGATTATGTCTCAAAATGGGTTGAAGCCATTGCAAGTCCCACAAGGTTGTTCAGAAACTGTTCAAGAGCATCATCTTTTCCAGATATGGAGTACCAAGAGCAGTGATCAGTGATGGTGGTACACATTTCATAAACAAAGTTTTTGAAACCATGTTGAAGAAGTATGGTGTGAAGCATAAGGTGTCTACAGCCTACCATCCCCAGACCTGTGGACAAGTTGAGATTTCTTACAAGCAAATAAAAGGAATCTTATCAAGAGTTGTTTGTGTTTCGAAGAAAGATTGGTCTACCAAGCTGGATAAGACTCTATGGGCGTACAAGACAGCTTTCAAGACACCCATAGGAAGGACACCTTTTCAGTTGGTGTATGGTAAAGCATGTCATTTCCTTGTTGAGATTGAGTATAAGGCTATCGGCTATCAAGCTTCTGAACTTGGATATTGATGCAGTCCAAGCAAAGAGAGTTCTTGACATCCATGAACTTGAGGAAATCAGACTTGATGCCTTTGAAAGTTCCAAAATCTACAAGAAGGCAAACCAAGGCTTTTCATAACAAGAAGATTGTTGTTAAGGAATTGAAAGCTGGTGATCAAGTCTTGATGTTCAATTCTAGACTTAGGCTGTTCCCTGGAAAGCTCAATTCTAAATGGTCTGGACCGTTTGAAATCAAGGATGTATTGCCATTTGGTGCAATCACTCTGCTTAACAAGGATGGCAGCGAGTTCACTGTGAATGGTCAACGTGTCAAGAGGTCCTCCATACATCTCTATGAGCCTCCAAAAGCCTAAAGGGCAAAAACAGTCTAGCTAAGTTACTTTAAACAAGCTCACTTGGGAGGAAGTCCTAAAGATATCCTGTAAATATTGCTTAGGATTTTTGTGTTTTTGATTTTTGTTTTTGGTTTTCTGTTGGTCAGGATTTCAGATAGATGGAGTAATGCAATGATATGAGAGGAGTTGAAAACAGAGTGAGGTGCGGATGTAGAATCAGTTATGACACAGTGAAAAATATAGAGTGGAAAACAATTATTTAATGTGATCTTGTCAAGTGAGCAAAAAAAAAAAAAAATGTGCCTCACCCTACCCAACGTTCATTTCACTCAACACACACCCAAATCACACATATTTTATCCTCATCTCGCCCATCATCACTCTCACCAAACTTCACCTCTCTCTCTCATCTCCTTCGATTTTATCACTCAACCAGCATCCATACTCACTCGATTGCCGCCGTTTTCACTCGACCATCATCATCTCCTTTTCACTCGTCGTCACCACCACTCAACATCACCACCACTCGACAATACTCGTCTTTACTTGATGGAAGCTTTCAATCTCGTCGTTGCCTTTCACTCTACGGAGAAGATACTCGACTGAAGGCTGCCTCACTCGACTAACGAACTGACAAGCCCTCACTTCAACCTTACTCGACGATTGAAGCTCACTCGGTCCTCGCCCGAGAGTACTCAACCCTCTCACTCGAGCGTCAACTCCCCACTTTTCACTCGATCGACTAGCCAAGGATTTAACCTCACATTCTCACCACTAGACTCACCTCACTCGACCCACTCAATTCATTCAACAGTGACGCACTTACTCGACGAAAAAGCAACCCGAGTACTCACCTTAATCGACCAGCGCGCCTCCCTCACTCGAAGGAACACCTTCACTCGAATCTCATGCATATAGCATCGTCTTAACTCGAACAAGGAAGCGCACTCGACTTGTTCATTCCACTCGACACTGTCTCACCGACTAGGTTCACTCGACCAAGCATCACTCTAATCAGTGTGAAAGTGAAAATTTTGCTAACTGTTACTTTTCTTTGCATTTCTCTTTATAAACTAGCTATTTTATCTTGATATTTGGCACACTAACAAGCTAACTTTTAGATTGAGTTCCAATTGTTTCAGTACCATAATGTCAAGAGATTTGTTGCATGAGATGCGTGAGAAGTATGGTTGTAAACTAACAAAGCGTGCATCTCCTCAGTCTATGTCCAAAGTCTATATGGAGAAGAAGAAAGCTACATATCAGAAAGTGTCAGGTGTTGGTCCATCTCAGGCAAGAAGCAGAGACAATAAGTCTTCAGGTAAGAAACCAATGAAGTTGTAGGATCAAGACAGTGATTACGAGCTCGAAGAGAACCCACCTGTCCCAGCTCGCAAGTCTATGCAGAAGAAGAAGACAGAGAAGTGGTTAGCCCCGAGAGAGTATTACAAGCTATTTCAGCAGCATGAGTTTCAGGGCACGAGGTATCCTTGCCAGCAGACAATAGATGAGCTGGCTATCTCTGATGATGTCGAGTATATGTTCGAGCACTGTCATCTCCACACACTCATGACTAGTCTGCGCAACGTATACAGAGAAGAGACCATACAATTCCTCTGTACGCTTGGTATACATCTTTATGAGGATGATCCAGACATAGAGTTAGATGGAGGATTGGGATACATCACCTTCACCATCCATGATCATGAGTATTTTCTTACCATCAAAGAGTTAGAGGGTTTGTTTGGATTCCCTAATGGAACAGGGACTAGGCAAAAGATTGATATGGATGAGTTGCTGGCTCTTTGGGAAACAATTGGGAACGAGAAGAAGTTTGCTTCATCTAGGACCCAGAGCAACCACATCAGAAGTCCTGTTGTTCGCTACTTCCATCGATCAATTGCAAACGTGCTCTTCGCAAGCGAGACAACATGGACATTGATCAACAGGGAGTTGGAGATGATTGATCTTGCACTTACGGATCTCTTGTTAACCGCAGCAGATGGGACACTACTACGAGGTGATACAACTGATACATCACCCTCATTCACTTTGTTGTACCAACTACTCAGCTACCGAACTTGGGTAGTGAAGCTGAGCAGCTGTAAAACGCAAGGAGTTATGTGCATGAGTGGGTTGGTGACAGTTTAGCATAGGGGGCGATGATGATTTACACTTTGTTAACTTGCTATGATTCACTAGTTGAGATCAATGCCCTAGTTTTTAGCTTTTTGATGCATGATGATTGAACTTGAAGTAAGCCTGAAACAAACATTGAATTCATGAAGAGCATTCTAGAACTTGGTTGAATCATATTGTGATCTGATCTCATTCCTTACCTTATAAGAATTTAATCTTGACTTGCAATTATCTGGTTGTGTTTTGCTTGCATACTCATGATCACCATATACATATTGGATCATCTTCCTCTTTCCACCACTCTTATTGATCCAAGTAGCTGATCTTTCTTTTGATCATTTTTCCATACCCACAGCCTATCATTTTCTTTCAAGGCAATTGATAATTGTTGAGTGGTAGGTCTTTTACCGGATTATGCTTGGGGAGAACGTGTTAGGTATGAGCAGACAGGATTAAAATCATGAGTAGTTCTGATTTTCACTTTTAAATCAGATAAGACTAGGTCTGGATTCTTACTTGGGTTTGGGATTGGAATGATTGTGGAAAGAAAGAAGAGAAACAGAAAAAGTTGTGTCCTTAGGAGTAGAATGTTTTTTAAGAGGTTTATACTCTAGTGATTGATTTTTGTGGGGATAGCATGATATACAGAGAATGGTTCTGTTATGTAAAGAAAGAGAAAAAGTTTTGATGTCATAACATAAGTAGAAAACAGAACCATAGTAAGGAAGAAATCCCCTATCCATTAGTATTGATAAGAAACTTCTCCTAAGGCAAAAAGAAAAAAAATGGGAATGATGTTGAAGAGTAGACTTAGGGATCATTCGGGTTTAGATGATTAGGAGTAAGCACTTGGGAACCATTTGGTAGTCAAGGTTTTATTCTTGTATGCATTTGTTGGTCCTCACCTTTAGCATTCTCCCTAAAGCTCAATCCATTTATTGAGAGATCCTAAAATTGTTTAAGCCCTCTTGATTTTCAAAACCTTTTTCTGCCTAACCAAGTGAGTTTGTTAAGCCTAGCACAACCAGATTCATATTCTTGAGTAATGAATGCTAAAAGGAATGAATGATTTGAATGCATGTGTAGATCAAGGGATAGAATGAGTTTCATATTCTTGAGTAATGAATGATTTGAATGCATGTGTAGATAAAGGTATAGAATCAATTTCGGATTTGATGAGTTTGTCTAAAGTATTTAAGTAAAGTTCTCTCAGCATGCATCAAAGACTTAGTAACCAGGACATTGATTATAACTGCTCTATCTTGCAAGTTACAGGTTATGAGACCCCATTTTCAAACCTCTCTTCCACTTTGTTTCTTTTTTCTTTGCTTGAGGGTAAGCAAAGAGTAAGTTTGGGAGAGTTGATAACTCTGTATTTTATCACTTTTTGAGCATGTATTCATCATCTTTTCAGCATCATTGACTTGTTGATTTGCATCGTATTGATCACTTTCTGCATGTTTTGCATACTTAGGTAGGTTTTGTGCATATCATGCATGTCTTGCATACATTTTTCATATTAGAGTGTTTCAGGTACTAAGCAGACATGCAGAGCAAAGCAGAGGGACAAGTATCACTCGACAGGCAAAAGATCGAGTAGGATGATCGAGTAAGCATCAGAGATACATTGCAAATACATCGACGATCGAGTGAGCAGCAGACGTACCCGACCGAGTAGCTGATCGAGTGAGCAGAAGGGAAGCGAAGCAGAATCACCTGTCAGAAGATGCACACACTCGAGTGACACGATCGAGCAAAGAAAAGGAGTAGCAGATGATTTCAAAGATCACTTAACACACTCACTCGATATACATGTTCGAGTAAGCTACAATAATGCAGAGAAGAATTTATGTGTTACTCGACACGCTCACTCGACCAACAGGGTCACTAGAACTTTTAAACCGTTTTTTACTTTGTCGTTTTATGTTTTAAGTTTTGCCCAAACATGGTTATAAATAGGTCTCTTTTGGCATCGCCCAAGGGATCGAGTTTTTTACCCTTAGGTTTTTGTTGTTAGCCACCAAAACAAACTAGAAAATTGTTATTTAGATTTCTTTTAAGTTATTAAGAGTTTGCACTTAGTTATTTGATCATTGTTGTTTACTTCCCGTCATCTTTATTACTATGCATGTTTTGAAAGATTCTGGGTTTATGATGTTTAACATGATTTCTGTGTCAGAGTAGTGTTAGGATTCTTGAGGATGGGATAGATTAGGTGGAGAATGTTAGAGAGTTTAAGTTAGATTTGTTTGTTCTCTTCTGAATTAGAGTATTCATAGCTAATTCTTCTCTGATCAAGTGGAATTAGATCCAAGACATTTTAGCACCTACCAAGTGTTTGATGAAATGTCTGAACAAATAATACCAGAGATATACTTGCTTAGCCTAAGAGATTAGATGTCTAAGAAGTTTATTGACATTAGTGGACTGTTTCTTCATGCCTATTTACTTCATGTTTCATCAAAGAGATTTGTGATTAGGAAGTGTTGTAAACATGATAGTTTCTGCCAAGAGATTGGATTAACTAGTATTCATGTTCATTGTCTAGGGATTAGTATGTTTGTTGTTTGTTAATACTCTAAGTAGATTAACATACTCCACCTACATCAATAACCTCATCCTCAGGATCTTCTATCCATTTGTGCTTTCTGTTTTACTCACTTGCTATTTACTTATTCTGTTCTGTCTTCTTGCTAGTGTTGATAATCATTACGTTTTAGCTTATGCATGATAGTCTATGTTTTGCAGCCTTACATTTATCGCATGTTTAACATGTTCGATTAGGATCATTGAAAGCCAAAATCATTTATACTTTGATTGACTTAATCCTTTCTGATATATCTTGATTGCTAGCATCACACCTGATTGGACTGATACCTATTGTACAACAAGCACATGATAGTACTCTAGGGTAATTGGTAGTAATATCCTAGTATCAAACACTAAGCCAATTCTGATCAATTGGTGATTAGTTCTCAGGCTTCCACGCCTGAGAGGTGTTGAATGGAATGCCGGATAATCTAATACCAGAGAATTTCATGTCTAGCCCAAGAGATTGGTTATCTAGAGTATTATTTGACATTAATGAGCAGAGTCTTAGTGCCTATTCATTTCATGTTTCATTAGCCAAAAGTTGAGATTAGGAAGTGATTTGAATTTGATAGCTTTGTTAAGAGATTGAACTGGGTAGCTTATGAACTTGTTGTCTAGGAAGCAGCGATGTTTGTAATTGATTGATTTTACAACCTAGTGAACTTAAAGGTCTCCACTGAAGTCACCATCTCATCCCCAGAACCTCCCTTTCATTGATTGATTTACCTTGCTTCATTATTGCTCTTGCATTTGTAGATCACTACATGTTCTTATCTTTGTAGTTTCATTTCTGTTTTAGTTCAATGTTGTGTCTTGCTTAATTCATGCTTGATTTAAATTCAGTAGTTCATAGTTTAAAACCTTTCCTGCTTGGCTTAACTTGTTAAATATTGATTGCATCTGAACTGTTTGCACGCGTCCTTATGGATCGATAAAGCCCTTTATACTACAATTATACTAGGTAATTGATACCAAAAGAACATGTAGGTGCTGGAGATGGTCCTAATAGCCATGTCCAGAGGTCCGGGATAGTACCACCAGCCGTTAGAATAATAATTTTGAAATCAAGAATAGCCTCATATCCATGGTGGATTAACCAAGATCAATGGAGTAAGGGAAGACGGATTCAAGCTTTGCCTCTTTGCTTTCTCACTTGGAGACAAGGCTCACCAATGGGAAAAAGGCTTGCCTGCTGGTTCCATATCCACTTGGGAAGGTGTAAGCGTGCTTTTCTGTCAAGCTCTTTTCCAACTCCCTCACAACCCGTCTTAGAAATGAAATCTCAAGCTTTGTCCAGAAGAACAGAGAGACGTTGTGTGAAGCATGGGAACAGTTCAAGGGATATCAAATCTCAATGCCCACACCATGGGTTCACTAAGGACTTCTCAGCACACTATACAGGAGAGTGCTTCCTAAACACATATCTGGATGAGGGATGAGAGCTGGTTGAGAACCTTGCCCAATCTAATGGGAATTACAATGAGGAGTATGATAGAGCAAATAGGGGGAGCTCAGACCATGACGAGAATTATAAGAAGGACTTCAAGTCTTTGAGTGATCAAGCTTATTATCAGCTATTTGGATCAACAAAAGAATGGTAAAAAGAGAGAAAAAAATCCAAATATGTATACAAGGTATGCATGAGTTTGAAACAAATCACAACCACATAATTATCAATTCAAGTTAAGGTTCTAATAAAAAAGGAATGAGATCAAATCAAAGCAAGCTTCAGTTTAGACTAGGGCCTTGAATGTTTAGTGGATTTTGGAAGAGATTTTGGTTTTTGTTTTTCAAAAACTTATTTTCAAACAATCAAGATTATTCTTCCAAATCAAAAATCAATGCCTTGATTGTCTTATCTTGAAATTTGTTCCACCTATGAAGAAGGTTGATCTTTTTATGGGAATCTTTAAGACTAGCTTGTCTTCCCTGAGTCTCTTCGAAGTGAAAACCTTCTGAACTATCCTCATCCATCATATCTATACCCACATCAGCCCCTTGACTCTCCTCATGAACAGCTTGTGAACTAGTAAAACAATACAAAAGCTGAGTGGCAGGCCAGAAGTCAAATGTTTAAACCCGTTCTTATCGAGGTAACTTCTGCATTTGGAAGAATAATCTTGATTGTTTAAACCCATCAGTAAACCATATATGACCGGCGCCATGGATAAGTCTTCATGACTTCATCATGTGGAAGATATATAGAAAATATACAACACGTAAAATACATATGTTGGATAACGAGTGAAACAATGATATAGTTGTTTCTTCTTAAAACTCTCTTCAAAAAAGTTTCCATTAAATATAAGACTGTTAATTAGAAAGCTTTCACTTTCGAGTCCTGATTAATCAAGAGCAAAAAATAGTGATACAAATCCTTTATATTTTTCATATATAAGATATATAAAAATGAAAACACATTCAAAAGTACGAGATCCATGTGGACAACACTTGGTGGATAAGCCACTATTGACGATTAATCACAAAATAGAATAAAGAAGGGATATATATGAAATGAATTCATCTTTCACAACAGAGTTGTTCTCATACACGTCGTCGTACCAACGTCCTTACACACATCATCGTACATTGTCTTGCTTGTGCTTCTTGGGTTTTCTATTCGCTCTTGGTCTTATTTGATTTAATTCACAACTAAATTTTTTCTATTTATGTGTTTCTCTTGCAAAGTTATGTTTGTTTTGTTTATGATTGCAGGTAATGCCACTAAAAGTAAGTAGGGTTGTTTTTGTGTATGTAACTTCTTCTAATTGTTCTTTGATTTTTGAACATTAGTATTCATGTATTACCAAACGAACATCCCCTTGATACCTTACAGATAACTTAGTTGTTATTGTCAATGTATTTGTGGCAAAGTTTGTTTACTTTATATTGCCGCTTAGTTATGTTATGCTTTACAACTGATTTATGATTATCTATTATATTTATCAGATGGCTAAGGTTATTTCTGAAGAAAAAGGAAGGGATTACACTCGAAGACTTTTAGTACAAGAGGAGTCTATTCTCATAAAAATTTAAGATGGAAGATTTATCCGCGATTAGATAATCAATAGAATACCATTTCAAAGTGCAAAAAGAGTTTTTGATGATGAAGTCATGAAGACTTATCCATGGCGCCGGTCATATATGGTTTACTGATGGCTTAGTTATGGTTTGTGATGGGGGTTATATTTTAGTGATGACTAAGTTTTCGGGTTATGAGTGGTTGAGTTATGTTATAGTGATGTCTGAGTTATAATTATTGATGATTGAGTTAAAACTTCCAATGGGTTTCATAATCTTTTATGTAATAGTTGTGTGTGAATAAAATAGTTATGAAGGATAATGTAAGAGAGTTATTTTTATACATGACCAAATCAAGCAGAAGACCCATCATTTGATCACTTTATCCGAGACATACATGAGAATAAGTCTATTAAAGGTTTTTGGGATGTTAAGAGGAATGAGTAGAATAAAAATGGAAATGCTAAAGCAACGGTTAAGTCTGAACAGTCATGGATATGGTGACCAAGAACTAGAGAAATATCTTCAAATATTGTGAAGGTGATTGGAGAAAGAGTAGAAGTGAGGATGAATGCAAGGTTTTCCCCAAGGCTTGAATCTTTTGAGAACAAATGTGGGTTATTCTCTCCAAGGAGATGTGGCTTCTCTCAGATCATTGATTGCTTTGCTGCTAACAAACGAGGATTTACAAAAAGATATGGTTTCTCTCAATGAAGATGTGGCTTCTCTCAAACAATGTGGTCTCAATGAAGATGTGGCTTTTCTCATATCATCCATTGCTTTGCTACCAACAAAAGATGATTCATCCAAAGAACTTACATCATGGAGTCCTTCTAGCTCAGATAATTCATAAACGGATGATTACTACCAGCCAGATTCACTGTTTGTCTCTGGTCTCAATCCCATAATTGATAAATCTGCTATTGAAGATTTCTTCAAAGATGTTGCTCCTGCCATTAAATTTTAAATTCATACAAAAGAAGAGGATAAGGATGGCAAAACGGCTATCATTCGCTTTGCTTCTGCTCAAGAAGCAAAATATGCTTTGAAATTGAGAGGTAACACTTGTTGTGGTTACCCTATGTATCTCCAATATGCTTACATCGAGTTATACATGTCGTATGTCAGTGAATTTGACACAACTCTTCTGGAGCATGAAAGCAAGATACGCTTGATTGAGCATTTCAGCTCTACTACAGATGTGAAAGACATTTACCTTGCCAAAGACAAAAAAAAAACAGGTCAATTGAGTAGATTTGCGTATATCAATATGGTTGAGGATCCTAAGAAAGTGGAAAACACTGTTCCATCTACCATGAATGGAAGGAAGCTTTTTATTGAATCTACACAAGTGAGAAAGGCTACTAAGGTGGAGATGAGAAAGAACAGAGTTGTCAAAACGATGTAGCCTAAGAGTAAGAAGATTACCTTCAATTACCGCGACGATGAGTAGAAACCAGCTTTTAGAAGAAGTGGAACCCTCTTTGGTGACATAGCAGGACATAGTTCAAACTTTTCTATATCTTATGTTTTTGAAACCTTCTAGTTAAGGCTTAGGTTGGAAAGTGAAAAGTAAGAACACACTTTTTCTGATGTCAATGGTATCAAAAGCTTCATATAGCCTATGTATTTTGTGAATTGAGATGCCGTACATCCTTTATTTGCATTCCGCTTTTACTATGTTTTGGTTGTGTTCTTTGATTTGCAGATGCCACAAAAAGAAAACAGATGGACCGTTTCTCACCATCTTGGCTCAATTTCTCAGCTTATATCCCAAGGGTATGAACTTCGAACTCTATTTCAATGGTCAGATGAGAAATCTTAAGTTTGGAAAATTCTTGGTCAAAAACATATTTAAATTCCTGCATAGTTGGTACCCATTAGTTGCTAGTCACCAAACTTTCGTCGAGGAGTAGATTCAACACTTAGAGTGGTTCAATTGGATCAAACCGAATTAATCGAGTCCAAATCATAATATTATTTCCAACAAATTAAACCAGTTTGAAATCAATATAAATTTATTTTTCGGTAACCCAAAAATAAAATCCTATTTTAGCAAAACAATTTGATTTTCAACATCAACCAAGCTCAATTAAAAATAAATCGCAATATTAGTTTGACCAGCCAATACTGAACCGGAATATAATTGGTTTAGTAAAAATCAACTACTTTGACTTTGACCAGTTAGGAAAAAACAATTTTGACTTTCGCGTAGCTAATTAACCAAACTGAAGAACCCAAGAAGAAAATATTAAAGTACTATATATCATGAATATCATCCAGAAAAGTCATCCAAAACTCAGTCAACACTATGATCAAAGTGCTTGACCACCGCGGTCCAAGGTGACCATGAGCTTTCCGAGTCCAGTTTCACCAATATTTCGATATAAACACAATTATATAAACCCTAACCACTATTTTCTCAACCCAAACCAAAATATAAGTTCGTTTAATTACAAATTATAAACCCTAACAACTAATTTGTCAACCCAAACCGAAAATATAATTTGGTTTAACTACAATATCTAGACCCTAGCCACTATTTTGTCAACCCAAACCAAAATATAATTTTGTTTAATTACAAAACCTTAACCTAACAACTAATTTGAAACTCAAACGGAAATATATTTCCTTAATAAAAATCCAACAGAATTTGTTTTCTTAATTTGCTTTATTTTTATTTTTATTTACATATGTTTAGATATTGTATTTTTGTTTTTAGTTTTTATGTGTCTTTAATGGTAAGTTTTAACTTGTGGTTCTTAATAAATAATTTTAATTTAAAACTTGAAATAAAATTAACAATTTTAGTTTTAAAAAACTTAATGATTATTGCAAATTAAAAAATTTAAAACATACATGAGATATAATATAAAACATAAAGCATAATAGTTTTAAACTTTATTAATGAAAATTTTTGTCCATTTATGCTCGACCAAATCCTTCTTCAACTGTTGAATCATATCTCGATCACGAATTCACATTCTAGTGGCCATCATATCAACGAGATTCGAAGGCGTTTATGTAAAATAGGTTAAATCCACCCATGTATTTCCGGCAGATTCCGCTTGCTTAAATCCACTGACATCAAATTGTATACCTATCTTGTTAAATCCACTAATATATTGTTAAATATTATATATGCTCGCGTAATATTTCCTATTTTTTTGTTATCCCAAAATTGAGCCAGATTTTTAGCAATAGCAAATCAAGCTTGCAAATTTCCAAAATCACCCTTGACATCTTTATGGCAAGCTTTTTGATGGGTTGCAAATAAATATGCTTTCCCACCTTGTGGAAGTGAAATAGATTAGATAAATGATGCAAATTTAGGATTAGTTCCATCAGTGA